ATAATTAATAATATTTATAGTTTTAAAGTAAATTTAATATATGATTAAAGAAATCAAAATATATATTTAAATATTTAAAAATTATATAGCAATTAAAAAATATATGTAATATGGATATCATTTTGTAAAGAATAAAATTTTCTATAATACTAGTAAATAAAAAAAATTGTTTATTTATAATTATCATAAATCAATTTTATAAAAGATGTGTAGTTTTAAATATAGATAAAAACATTTTTTTTAGAGAGATAGAAATAAAGGGGTTTTGAGTGGTCCTACGTCATTTATGATGTTATATGTTATGTAGTTAATTAAGTTGATTTATATTTGTTAAATATGTTTTGATTTAATAATTTTTACCAAAAATAGAAATAGTGTCAATTGTGGTGGGACGGAGGGAGTATTATTTTAAAAAATTTAATTTATAAATTTTTATAATTTTAACTATACTAATCAGTTATTTTAATTTTAATCTATAATTATTTTTATTAGACGATAATTATTTTTACTAATAAATTTTTAATTATTTATTAATTATATCATTCATAAATTTTTGTGTCTACAGTAAAGCGGACAAAATATCTGGAACGGGAGAGTAATAAATAAAAAACATGTAATATATATGAAGTGTGATGTTTTTCCAGCGGAAGAACTAATGGAAAAAATTGTTCTTGGTAGAAGCCTACGGTTACGTGCGGAAGAACTAGTGGAAAAAATATTTCTTCGATGCAAATTATGTTTAATATATAATAAAACCGTTGTACCCGATGTGAAAGAGTATGCCGAATATAAAAAGTTAACAAGCGTCAATAGAAAAAACACATTATGCGCATACGGCGTCCAACGGCATGCAGTACAATTCTAATTGTCCGAGAATTACGTAAGGCATCAAAACGTTGATATCAAAACCAGTATTTGATGTCGGAGCCAAATACAAGTACACCCCTAGTTCATTCATTGAGCAAACATTTATATTATCACTTAGCCGATTCACGCAATGCACCCGACGGAAATGGCCGTCCATCCAACACTCCAGAGTGGGTGCACAATGCATCAACTCTGCGCTCAATCGCCACTAGCTGACTCTTAATGTGTTTCTCCATCTCATCAAGATGGTGGATTCCAGCAACGAGTGCCTCTATCGGAGACATGGATCCCTGCACCGCTGAATTGGTTGTAGTTTCGTCAACGTGCGTCACCAGATCCCCACGATGTTGCCTCTGGATTATGCCCATTTCATGAGGATGTCAATGCCACCTGGCTTCATCTTCGATGGGGGGCTCCCCGCAAATCCCGTTGTGACTCCTAGGCCATGCGCGAGCCGAGTCACGTACGAACCGATACATATGGTCGGTAAACGGCCATGGCCTGCTTGCCTAACTAATAATTGTGCAAGACAATACCCGGCATGGATAGGAACCCCACGCTCCATGCTCCATAGATACTTCAGGTCATCCCACGTGACGACGCTAGTACTCGAGTTGCGCCCTGTTAAAGTATGTGCAAGTATGTAATGTATATACCTCAACGCGGGTGAGCGGAGTGCTGTCGCCTTTGACACCCCAAGATTGTATACTTTCGAGTTTGTGATTGAAATCCAATACCGCTCCTGCGCGTCTTGCATTTCTCCCTGCAACGATTTGTACTCGACTGTCTTCGTGAACTCTTTGTCGTATAGGCCCATAGCAACGGAAAATTCGGTAATTGAGAGCTTGAAGTTCCTATTGTTGAGGTGGAAGGTAAGTGTGGCGGGATAGTCGAACTCATGCAAGTGCTTTTTGTCAAAGGCCAGGGTACTCAGGAACTCCAACGTCAATGTACGTTGCGTGTGGTCCTTTATGTCGAAGAAAAGTCCCCATGCACCCACCCGGAGGTACCTCTCACACTCAGTCACTGCATTAAGCACATTAACTGCCTATTCGGTTATGTAACATCCGGTAAGAAAAATTACCTTCTTCAGTCGGTTGAATTTCTCCGCGTGCGCTGGATTTTCAAAAGGCCTCAAAGCTGCGTCGTTGGGGTCAGGAACCATGGATGGAGATAGGGTTGTGGGTTTCTTAGTATGCCTGGCCCTCTTCTTCACGGGTGCCATGCCGATGAACGTGTAGAGAGGATAACCTAAGACATACAAACGCAACAAAGGAAAAAAAATAAAAAATAGTTTAATGTGCACGGCCATTCAACATATGTCTTAAACCCATGGAGTCGTGCAGGACATTGCATATACACGCAAAACGAATGCCCGACAGAAAAAAAAAAAAAAAAAAAACAGGTACTTGTGCATGGCCATGCATTTCAGCCGGAAAAAAAAAAAGAAATAGTGGTAAAAAAATCAAACAGAGAGATGCAAATACTTATGCATGGCCATGCATGTGTGTTTGAACTTGACTGCTTGCCATAATAAATACCTACCAGATCTCATATAGATGAACAGAAATCTACAACACAATATGCACGGTCGTGCATGACATTTCGCATTTTTTTGGCTTTCATTGAATACTGAAACAGAAAAATGAAGCACACCCCGCACGGTTGTGTACGATCGTCCTAGTATTGCATTAAGTAAATTTTTTTTCCACGGTTGATTTCAGCAATAAAGTTAGTATGGTATGGCATAGTCGTTCTCTCCGTTCAAAACAAAACATCCAACGAATTACGTAGTCTACGGAGTCAACATTTTAATTCACATTGAACAAACTTCATAAACATCTACGCCGATTACATAGAAACAAGCATCGGAAAATTGTAATGGTATGTTGGGTCTGCCTAAACATCCATTACGTCTAACCCATCGATTACATGTAGTAGCAAAAGGTAAGACACTAGGGCAGAGGCTTGTTACGCTAATGAAGGGACTACGGTTGCATGATTTAAATGACAAGCCAGAAGCATACCATGAACACTACAATCATTGATATGACTATCCACTTGCAGGTCCGCCCTTTATGTGGTCGAACCTTTGTGTCCATTTCGGTTGAGAACCATAATTCCCAGTCGCCCGTCTGCGTTTTTTTGTTCTGGGAAGTCCGTATAGGCGTCATACTAGAAGCTCCCTCAGTGAACGGTTGTTTCGAAATGACATCGGTAAGCATGGTGGTCTCCTACTCCGAACACCACCAAAAGGATCCTTGCCCACGAGGGCAGTATGGGCATGAAAAGTAAGGACGGTCAGGGTTCTTAGTGGTACAGATTATGCGTTTTGGCATTAGTGTTCCACATATAGCACATCGGGGGTGCACTTTATGGGACAACATCTTGAATCAACTGCGACACATAGAGTAGCAAGAATGTCCAATGGGATTGTCAAACAGACAAACAAGTATACGGGAAGATCTTACGCCAACACATTACAACATTTGAAGGAAAATGCACATACTTAAAGTATGGCCAAAAGGGCTCTAACATAGAAATTCTAATTAGCATATGTCTACGGATTACATTTGATTCCCTCGTTACGTTTTACCTATCTCAGTTTGTCCATATTCCATTAGCAAGGTGTTCGGGGAACTGATTCCTGTGTGGATTGTCAAATAGATCAAGGTATTCATCCGGAGTGGATCGTCCGTGGTTGTGTTCTACGTATCCTCAAGTACAGGCTCATTGCCTTCTCCGTCATGGTTTTCTACATTCTCGCCCGCAGCTAGCATTAAATAGTACACAGTAGCACACGCTTGGACCAAGTTTACTTGCCGATAAAACTTATAATTCGGCATTGGACCTCTTAAGATTGCAAACCTCCGCTTAGGAACCCCGAACATTCGCTCCACGACATTGCGAATTTGAGAGTGTCGATAGTTAAATAATTCTTTAAGACCACGCGGACCCCCTAGGGTGTCGCGAAATGTTTGCGAGCGGTAGCGGTGGGAGCGGAAGGGGGTGAGTGTCAAGGCGGACTTGGTGTATGCCGAATCCGCCATATAGTATTTGCCTATCACAACCCCCATGCGTTAGCGGAGTAGCCATGGATAGACGCCCGTAAGATGACATAGAGTACGAATGTAGATAGACTAACCTGGCGGGGGTAGAGAAAAGTCTTGTAAAACGGCTATTGCATTATTTAGAACCCGATAGTCATGTGCACTCCCTTCAAAACCCGCATACACATACACGAACCGCATATCATGGTCTACAACAGCCAAGATAGACTGCTCGGTATGTCTGTGCCGACTGCGGAAACACGGCGCATCTGCAGCAGGGACGCATGCATGTATCAATGTACCATCAAGGGCCCCAACACAGTCCTATAAAGGAATTTGTAGGATAGTAAAATAGTGTCGATTTGAAGTGGTAAGGTACAATGATGATCGCAGAGGACAAGTTATACCTTAAAGTAAGGCATAAAGTGTCGGTTGTTTGCAATGTGAGGGTGAGTGATACTTTGATCTCTAGGGCAGACTACATCCAATCCGAGCAGACATAATGCCTTACTTACTCGTTTCACGTGGCGCCAAATCATGTGCATTGAGTGTTGAAATCTCTCCGCACTGCTACGATGCCTATTAGAGTGGGCAATTGTATGTAGAAAAATAGCGACAGCCTCATGAACCCCTACACGCATCCGCACACGTGGGTTAATTAATCCCCGCGCAGTCAACGTATCGCACTTACGTAGGAAAGTCTCATTTCTGACCTGTAAAAGATTTTTAATCCTTATTGGATGTTCATTTATAAGCTCTTGTGTAAATGCTGAACCACTCAATAGGGAGTCGTAGCAACGTATTGGCTGCAAGCATTGTACAAACGTGGATGCGGCAATGCAGGACATGCCATGCAATGCCTCCATGCATGCTACTTCCATTTGTTCTTCGTTCGAGTCATCGCGCCTGATGGTTTTCTCTTCATCGTCCTCCCGAAACTCTTCATCACTAAAGGCAGAATACCCGCCGTTAGGATTGTTTTCGGCATCGGAGTTCATCCCAAAATTACTCGTCATAGTAACTGAATAAAGAGGGTCAAATCAAACATAGGAAAGTTCTACAACAACAATTATGCGTATTTCTAGTTGCATGCAAGTGCGGCATAGTTGCAAACATTCACCTAGACGACTACTACACAAGGTACGAGAACGTAAGACAACATAGTCGGTTGCGTAAATTTAAAACGTAATTTAGGTTCCATGACTACTGCGGCGCAAACGAAAAGGCCCACATTCTCTGGCGCGCGAGCGGCCACGAGAGGAAGATCACTCGATGGTCAAGGAAAGATATCCGTGTAAGGCGCGGACAAGCGCCAAATCGGGAAGATCGGTAAACGAGTCAAGAATAGCCTGCACTCGGAGGAGGGTGTCGCGGCGCTCATTGTCCCTTGCAAGTAAGTTCTGTTGAATCATCTCGTAGCCTCTCTGAATTTGTCCTTCAATTCGTCGTGTGAACTCTTCATTCACTGAGACTCCCCCACGGCGGCAGCGAGGGGCCCCGGACCGATTATGCATTGACGGGCTACTGGTAAAGTCCTCGTTCATCGTCGATGTCTTTTGTGGACTATCAAACTCATCGCGTCGGTCTTCTACTCCAACGTTAGATGGACCAGCAAACATGGGGTCCGTTTGCTGCGTTGTTCTCTGCGCCGAATCCATGCCACGGGGAGGGGCACGGTTCGATTGGTTGGCGTCCCCATTGGTGTAATAGTGGTTGAACTTTTCATGACAGTAATCAAAGTGCACAAACGGCTGCGTCAGTAAATGGCTGTCCCCAGGATGCGCCTGCAATTCCACAATGAGTTTCACTCAAACAATGCGGTAATCCCCTACATTAATTATGTTTTGGGATGAGAAGTAGTACCAATAATCAAGCAGCTTTTTGGGCCTCGCTAGCAAGTACCACCCTGTCTCCGCATCCCAACCAAGTCCTGTTTAACGTACAACAAGGTCACGCAGATGACCATAATTGACTTTCGTCCACTTGAATTTTCCATTAGTTGCTCGTAATCGTAGTCGCAGCCCGTTTCCTCGAAGGACTCCTTTATTATTTTTTACCATACCTTTGGAGGAAGATTTTTCTCGTTCAATTTCTTCGGCAATAAAATGCAACCAACATATGCGAGTAAAATATTATTCTAATTCGTAATCCCAATGTGCTGGGGGCCGGGGCATTGCTCTCTCAACACCACGCTGACGAGACATCTACGAAGGGGGAACAAAAGAAAAAACAAAACAAAGTACAAAAGAGATTACTATGAAGAATAGAAGGAATTATGTACTGTCAGGATTGAAGGCGTCAGTGGAAATGGCTACCTTTCGTTTCCTTTTGCGGCTATAAACGACTACAAAACTCTCAACGGAGCTATGGGCATCCGAGACATGGTGTGGCTCCAGCTTCTCACTCTCTTTAGGAACATGTATAGCACGAAAGACACAAATATTGCAAGTACATTTATTGCAAAACAATTGGAAGAACGACTACCGTAATTACGATTATTGGGGATTTAGGTACATTTAACATTTCTTCTCGCCACGTCAAAAGTTAGCACCCCTAGCGGAGCCCAATTGTAAAAAGGCGTACCTCGTTGACATTTTCGAAGATCACCTCTTAGACGCGATCGGATATGACGGCCCTTGAAGATTGCTATACACGGGTTCTCCAGTGTGGTTGTACGAAAGGAACCCCTTACCGTGCACCACTAGAAAGGAATGAAGGTATACTCAATCGAAAGCATGACAGAATTACAGAGCATCAGATGGATACGCACAATATCATACTCCAAGGGGGCTCCGTTCGGGTTCGGCGGTGTGACTATCCGCACGTTCGTGACAATGTTAGTACAACGCTAATTAACGACTTAGGTATTTTAGGATAAATCATATGTTAGATTCGTCACCGCTAGATTACAAGCTACATTGAGGAGGGTGTAGGTGACACTCGAATTGAGCAAAAATAACATGACAATTCAAGTGCATTCGGCGTGAATGATTCTACACAGCAAGTGGAATCGAAGATCGTACGACATGCTGCCTTAATATGAGTACCACCAAACTACTGTCGCATTGCTTTTTGGCAATGTAGTATTGCCACAGCGTCCTCCGACAATTTTCATTTTCATTTCTAAGAATTCTAATCTAATTTTCAAAGTGAGTATACACCCCGTAAAGTGTGACTTTAGTATATGGGGTAGAAACATTTTCGAGTCATTTCCGCAATCGTGAGGTGACTAATAGAAAAGTTCTCCTAAGAAACTGCAATGCCTCAATGACGACACACATTAAATAAGGTGTCACTACATCTTCCTCTCACCGTGCTAAATTAAAAGCTCCAAGGAAAAGATCAAGGGCTAGAGCGTCCAAACCGTGGTCAGCCTCCTCGCTGGCGTCAAACCCGACGAACGGCCACTGGAGGCGCGGCGATGAGCGAGGTCAAATTTTTCTAAGACAAGCCCACAACACCACTAGAAATCCGACATCGCCTAATCGATTTACCATACATTTACACCTACTCGAAATCTCAAAACCTAGTTAACGGGGAACTTCTTCCCGTGAAACGGAAGTGCTAACCATAGCACATACCCGGCGCCACAAAATATTGAAATAAAAATGCCTACTAAATCGAGACCTAAGGACTACTCAAATATGTCGAAGCTCCATTAAACACAAAGCGGAAATGAAAATTTCAGCCGTACCGTGAACGACGAACAGAGGTGGTTAAATGCGCTCTCGCTGCCTCCCGGTAAACAATGCCCTGCACCGAAATCTACACACAGTGTCGCTTTCCTTTTCGCAAGTTGCTACTTGGATCTGTAACAAGGCGGACCGACTGGAAGGGAAGAATCAGTGGAAGAAGGGGGGTTGCGTTTTATTTGAAGGGCTGGAAGAATGTGGAATGGCGGTTGGGGATGATAAATGCAAGGAGAATGGGAAGAATCATTTTTGGTCAAATCCTACAAACCTACGCTGACAGGTTTGTCGCCTACGGGTGGTCTCGCGCCCAATTTTCCCATAGTAGTAAATGTACAGTAAACTTCCGAGATTTAGTGACAAAGAAACACACCCTAAATATTTTTTGCACGAAGATTTATATATAATAGCACATAGTATGAATAAAATAAAAAAAAGACTATAATACCCTCAATATAACAATTTAATTATAACATTATCTAAATCTTTATATGATCCATAGTTAGAGCTGTTAAAAGAGTCGAGCGAGCTCGAGTATCGGTTGTTCGAGCTCGACTCGAACTTGTTAACGATACAGGCTCGGCTCGGCTCGTTAAGAATTCGAGCCAAAATAGTGTCTCGAGCTCGGCTCATTAGGCTCAAATTCAAGCTCGAGTTCGGCTCGAACTCGAGCTCGATTTGAATTATATACATATTATGTATATTTTTTAATATATAAATTACATATATTTAATTTTATTCATAATTTTTTACAATAAAATATTTAAATTTTAATAATGCATATAAATTTTGATATTAAAAAATATATATTATATTAATATATAAATAATATAAATATATTATCACTAACGAGCTCAAGTGTGCTACTTGCAAGCCGAGCTCGAGCTCGGCTCGTTTGTAGAAAAGATAATTTTCGAACTCGAGCTCGGCTCGTTTATCTCTATAAACGAGCCGAGTCGAGCTTGGCTCGCAAGCTACTCGATTCGTTTAACAGCTCTATCCATAGTATCAATTATCAACAAGTAAATTAAGGCAAAATTTGCAAATAAATTTTTCCGGACGTTAATACATAAAAGAATGATTAACCTAATAAATTGACATTAGTAAAAATTAGACTATTTTACAATCCAAAAGAAAAAGATAAAGGCCGAAGAATGACAAATAAAGTTTTTGTCTCAATATAATAAAAATTTATCAATTTTGGTTCAAATATAAAAACTTATCAATTTTAGTCTCATTATAAATAATTTTAATCAATTTTAGTCTCATTATAAATAATTTCAATCAATTTTGGTCTCACTGTTAAAAAACTAATGGAAATTGCCGACGTGGACGTAACGGAATTGACGTGGCAGAGGACCTGAAAATTACATGGCCATATACAATTATACACGACCATGTACAATTATACACGGTCATGTTGTCACACGGTTATGTATATTTCAGTGTACAATTATACATGACCATGTTGTTACACGGCCGTGTAATTTCTGTTTTGGTATAAATTTTATTTTTTAAAAAAATATTTTGAATTTAGAAAAGTTGATATAGTTAAAATGAAACAAAATAAATAAATAGTAATCCTAATATAATTAAAATGTATAAACTTTAATTCAAATATAAAAATTTATAAAATATATTCTTTTGTAATATTTTACTTAAAATTCTACTATTCATAAAAAAATTTCTTCTTACAAACATCCAACTACACTTTTTTTTTTTATATTATTATTAAAACTTTATTTTACATTTGAATACAATTTCAACGTAGAATGAATGGACACCCTTTATATATACGTCTCTACTCGGCCAAAATAGTAGGGGATCAATTACGATCATAATTATGACTTTAATTTATTCTAATTTTAAATTTTCCGTTTGAGGTGGTAGTAATTGATTCTAATACTTTTTGTTTGCGACAATCGTAATTTATTCTAATTTCAAACCTTCCGTTTAAAACGATTGTAATTTATTCTAATTTCAAACATTCAATTTGAAATTATAATAAATCCATCCAACAGATAATATTTTATTCAGATAATACTACAACTTAGGTCATATACCTAGGTTTAACTTAGGACTGTACAATTTGATTTGTGTCAAGACAGAGATTTGTGTCGAGACAGACAAAATAGTAAAAATATTAACCAAGCCCTTTATTTCATCCAAATTAATTTGATTAATTTGATTCACTGGCTTGTCTTATTTTCACTCTCCAATTAATCGGTTGTTAAATAACTGATTATTCAACATGTTAATATGATTGGGTAAAGCATTCTTATTTGGATACTAAATTTAAAAATATTAATATTTTAATATAAAAGTGAACAGATAAAATTTAAAGTTACGGGTGTTTTTGTTTGGGGGATTGGATTGGATTTACACTATTCATCCAATTTTTTTTTCCCTAAAAAATCAAATCAAACACCTATTTTTCATTTTTTATATTATACTAAAAATCAATTTTACATTCAAAACATCACATCAACACCTATTTATATCACATCATACAACTATTTAAATTCAAAATTTTTACTATTTAAATCCTAATTCAAAATCCAAACCCCAAACAAACACACGAGTATTATGAAAATTTTATTAAAAATTTGATAAAAACAATAACGTTGTAAGAAAAAATGCTTGTCATAATTTATTTCAAGATGATTAATAAAATTATAATAAATAATATTTTATTATAAATTAATTATGCATAAATTTAATAAAAAAATAAAAAAAATAATATGATTTTAATGAAAGAAAAGAATAATACTTTTTATTTGAAACAAAAATCAAAACCTTATAAATACAAATACAAATTCAATTTCAATTTTTATTTGATCATGGTTCAAGGCTACTTTTTTTTATTTATTATTTTTTATAACATTGGAACCTGCAGCCGCCACCCGAATGTGCGCACTGGATAAACTCCCGACTGAACCTAATACCCTGTAAACTAAGCACGACAGACAAGTCACACTAGGCTAATGCAGATGACCTGAGGCGTCTGAGAGTTTGAAATAGGAAGTTATGACTAAATTATTTATAATTCATAGACTAAATTATTTATAACTCACCTGTGATATAATAAGTCTATATCATTTTTTTATAATTTAAAAATTAGATGAACCTTTCGTATGTTTTTTAAAATATTGTACAAAATTGTTTTTCTAAAGGATTTTATGCAATCCTTTTAAGAAATACAAAAATAAAAAATAAAAAATCTCATACATAATTTATTTGGCGTCATTGTTTTTAATATTAAAATATCTTTATATTTGTATAATTTTTTGTACAAATATCATTACATTAGTATTATAAGACACTAATAGAAATGTTTTTGTTGTTTTTCTTTGATTTGTACTACATTTTAATATAATAATTAATATTCAAATATTAACATACAAAAAGTATAATATTTTCAAAAGTTCGAGATTAATTTGTAAATTATGAGGGAGCATGGTTGGATTTTTCAAGTTAAAAGAGAATTATATACAATTTGGGCTACTTTTTAAATATTATACTTCTTCTTTTCATACTACATCCACTTTCTTTTTGACACAAAAATATAATTAGTAAATAATTAAAAAAGTATTAATAAAAATAATTATATAATAAAAATAATTATAAATTAAGACTAATATAACTAATTAGTTTATAAATTAAAACATTAAAATAAAATTAAAATGTATAATTTTTTTTTTAAAAAAAAAATAATAAATTAAGTGGAATTGATGACACATAAATTGAAAATGGATATAATAAAAGGGACAGATTGAGTATTATTTTAGTTTATAGATTATATTATTTCGATCATTTTTAAAAAGAAAAAAAAATCAAAATTTAAAAAATGTAGAATTCTAAATATTCTATTATTGTTAAATTTTCAAAATCAAAATAGCTTCCATGGATCCGACTCTTTATCATTATAAATGAGGTCAATGTCAATGCAACGAGGACACGTAGTTTACCTGTATTTATCATTGAGACCCACATCCCCTACAGTTGCTTTCCCTACAGTCTCTACAATCCCCTTCCTCGTCTTCTTTCATTAATAATACATTCCAAAATTATTTTTAAAAAGGCGCAATAACTTGAACCGTAGAGAAATAGCAAGCGAGCGACAACTGGGGCCGCCGCCGAAGAACGAAAGGTGCGGGTTTCTTCGTTGTTAAAAAATTCAAGTGTAAGAACCAGCCAACTTTCCTTCTGTCTGGTCTGGTGGACTCTACTTAGGGGTGGAAATAGGCCAGGCGGCCTGTCAGGGGCCTATGACCTGGCCTACATCAAGCCTGGCCTGGCCTGTTCTATTTATTAGAAAGGCCAGGTTCAGATTTTTGTTAAAGTCTGTTTATATATACAGAATAGGCTTAGGCTTATGAAAAAGCCTGTTTACTAAACAGGCCGGCCTGTTTAATAATAATATTATTATTATATAAAATTATTTTTTATTATTATAAAATAAGAATAGTTTTTTAATATTGCTTCTGAGTTAGCGTTGCTTATTTCTTTGTTAGAACAATCAGCTTAATGACAATAGATTGATGTAAACTGTTTTTTTTTTTTAATGTCATTATGCAGTAATTTCTATCAGCTTTTGTCTGGAGTTTGCAAGACTTATTCCCAATAATTATATATATATTTGAATGAATTGTAATATACGTTTTTTTGCAAATTATTAGTATAATATATTGTATTTTTATATGGCAATAAAAATAATTATTTTTGTCATTAAAAAACAGAATTTTTTATTTTTTTTATATATAATATAAATAATTGTATCTGTTTTATTTTTTATTTATAGTACGAAATTTACAAAAAAAAAAAAATAATAATAATAATAATAAATTATTATGTAGCCTTTTAAACAGGCTCGTAGGCCAGGCCAGGCTTTTAAAAAAGCCAGGCTCAGGCTTTAAAAATATTTTTTTTCAGGCTGGTAGGCCAGGCTCAGGCCATATCTTTTTAAGACAGGCCAAACCTATTTAACCAAGGCCTGGCATGGCCTATTTCCACCCCCTAACTCTACTGTTCCAATCCCATTCCCAATCCAAATCCATCTCTCAACAAACGGACGAACCCATCCAGACCACCCAGGTTGATTCTCTAATCTCAATCTCTCTCCACTCGTTTAATTTGATGTGTTTTCATTTTCATTTTCCTGTGCCGATTTTGCTGGATTGTGTAGTTTTACCGGTGTCTGGGCGTTCATTTTAGATACTAGGCGTATGTATGCTTCATTTTGTCTTCGATTGCCCTTTTTGCATGTGGCTTGATCTGAAAATGGGAGTGGTTTGATTTGACGATTTGATGTTGATCTGGGGATTTTGCAGAGTTGAAGCTATGTTGGGGATTTTAAGAAGACAAGTGACCAGCAAATGCTGCCCTACTTTGGTAAGAATTTCCATTTTTGTTTTTTTTGAGTTTTGGAATAACCATTCTTCTTGTGGTGGTGGTTTTTTTTCTTTTTGTCTTTTTTAACTTTTGGCATGGAAAGGGCTTGGAGCGTGCGGTTCAAGTAATTGCATCCCGCCGGGGGTTTTCTTCCTCAGGAAAGGAGGTAATTTCCTTTGTTCATTAGTCGGAATTTGTCCGTCGACGATCGATTCCACAATGCTATATGCAAAATTCACTACCACATACAAGCTTGTAATATAATCTTAAGACCAGTTGTGTAGATTTTCAGAGATTTGAATATGTTTACAAATAAATATAATCTTGTTGGATTACCGTACAAACTTGTTGTTTTGTAGATTACGGTACGTGAAGCTTTGAATTCAGCGCTCGACGAAGAGATGTCAGCTGATCCGAAGGTGTTTCTGATGGGTGAAGAGGTATTTTAGAAACTATGATGGAGGTTTATTATTAGGTATCTTATATGATTTTAGGACAAAATTGTTGACACAGTGCTTCTAATACAGGTTGGTGAGTATCAGGGAGCATATAAGGTGATGACCAATTTAAATTCAATGATGATACAGTGTTACAATGGAAATTTCTACACAAACTGTGTTACTAACTAGTTTTTTTGTAATGACTTCTAAATTAGATATCGAAAGGACTTCTTGATAAGTATGGTCCAGAGAGGGTGCTTGACACACCTATTACTGAGGTTGACTCTGGTCTTGTTCATCCAACTGCTTTGAATTTATTCAAACTGGAAACCCTAGTCTCAATCGTGTAATTTTCTCAGGCCGGATTCACTGGAATTGGAGTGGGTGCAGCATACTATGGACTAAGGCCTGTGGTCGAATTTATGACCTTTAACTTCTCAATGCAGGTTAGAGTTCTTAACAGAATTATTCGTATGTTGTTATTTTGTATAGTTTCCAACTGTTATGCAGCCATACCTAGCTGCTAATGGTAGCACTACTGCATACTTCCATCTCCTTCTTTTCCAGCAATGGAGTTTGGGTCTGTTTGTTTTGTGTTTTTAGTTGGAGGTTTTTGTATGTTAGGTATGGGGAAGTGTATCACTAATATAAAATTTTATACCCCCTTCACATAAAAATAAGATAGGGTGGTGTGTACTTTTTGTCTTTTATAGTAAAAAAAGTAGAAAAAATAATATAAAATAGTAAAATTTTTTGCTAACAAAGAAAACAAACCTATTTTTTTTTTTATCATTTACAAATAAAGAAAATGAACTTATTTTTCTTATGAAAGAGGGATTATTTTGTATTGAATTGTGAATTTTTTGAGAGGATAGAGTATATATATTATATATTTTGGATGTATATATATGTACATGCTTTATTTTTTATAATATTAATCAGGAAGTTCACCGAATTTTTTTTTTTTATAGAACACACCCTTTACTTCTGATAAAAAAAGAAAAGGTTAACGCTTGAAGGATACTACTTAAGCCATGGATTATGTTTTATGCTATCACTTGTGCTAAACTTATACCGATACCACATTATAGGCGCAAAGAACCAAATCTGTAGTATATTGGTGCACTATTTTGATTATAGATAATTATAGTTGCTCTATTGTGGAGTCTAGTGGACAGGGTTTCAGTTTCAGTCTTGTCCTTTTGGGAGGAGGTCAAATTTCTCAGAAAGGAATTGATTGAAGAGTTACAATTTACAAAGTTGTTGATGAATATGTTGTTTTATACTTTCTTTGTATTACATTATGAAGTTAAAATGCAACTCTTTTGTTATCCATATTTTTTTCCTCGATCTATACACAAAAGTAATAATGGGAAGGCTGTACTTCCCTGCATATGCTATATTACAACATAGAAAAAGCTGAGGTACCAATCTTGTTGCAGGCCATTGATCACATAATCAATTCAGCTGCAAAATCAAATTACATGTCTGCTGGTCAGATATCAGTGCCGATTGTTTTCAGAGGTCCAAATGGTGCTGCTGCTGGTGTTGGTGCTCAACATTCACAGGTAAGGGCACGAACACTGCTAACTTACATCAAACTCCAGTTTTCCTTCTGCTTTTGTATAAATTTTTGTCCTCATTTCAAAGATAATTCAAACTGTGAATTTGTCTTAGGTTGTGTTTGTTTGGAGGTTTAGATTTTGAGTTGAGATTTGAATAGTAAAAATTTCGAATTTGAATAGTTGTATGATGTGATACACATAGGTGTTGATGTGACGTTTTGAATGTAAAATTGATTTTTAGTATAATATAGAAAATGAAAAATAGGTGTTTGATTTAATGTTTTTGGAGAAATTTTTTTGGATAAATAGTTGATTTTTGGCAAAATTCTATAAACAAACACACCATTAGTGTACAAGTTCCTGATGTGTTTCTATTATGAGCTTGATAAGTCACCTTTTCAAATGAATTGCTTGTTTTGCTTGTTTGACAGTTTCGAGTAAATTTTTTGATAATTAAGTTAGAAATACCTTAACTTATTTATAATATTGATATTAGGTAGAAAAGTAAAGCTGTGTTAGGTTTATGGTTGGATTTGTGGTTGGAGGTTTGGTTGGAGGAGATTTATTTAATTGATAATTACTTATGATGTACTAATATACATGTATTTGATTAAAAATAAGTTTAGAATATTGGTTTGTTTGCTTTTGATTTCAAATAGCAAACTCTACTATGCAATTTATACGGTTCTCGATAAAAAAAAAAAAAAAATACTAGTTTCTTTCTCTAAATATCCTATACAATACTATTTAAATTAAATCTCAAATTCAAATCTAAACCAATCAAACTTATTGGTGTTTAAGTGTTCTAAAAGTTATAGTTCAATAAAATATATTCGTATCACTTTGTAGATAATAAAATTTTATATAAATACAATTAAATAAAATACATTTATATTTAACATAATTATAATAAATTAAGTTTATAGAGGTTGAATGTATATAATGTGTATTGAAGAGATATAGAAATAGAAGTTTATAATTGGGCTGAACTGATGAAATATTTGAAAAAAAAAACACAGTTTTGATAATAGTGTGTAATATGAGTTTGTATTGACTCTATGAACTGAATTCTTCACTTGAATTATTTGATTGTGTATTGATGGTTGCTTAGCATTATAAATTAATAATCAAATACTAATTCTTAAATATCATATATCAATAGCAATTTGTAATTGAAATTGGTAGTTCTCAAAAGAAGTAGTGAAATACGAAAGTTGATTCAAATTCAGTAATAACAAGCTCTTGTTTCCTTAAAACAAAGTCAAGTCTACATTGATCGTGAATTCACACCATTCTAAAGTACTGAATTAGGTCTTTTTAGCATTGCAATCTGATTATGTATCATTTTTAGTGTTATGCAGCGTGGTTTGGTTCGATTCCTGGATTAAAGGTCCTGACCCCATACTCTTCAGAAGATGCCCGTGGACTGCTTAAAGCTGCAATTAGGGATCCCGATCCTGTTGTGTTCCTTGAGAATGAATTATTGTAAGTAGTTATCTTCTGTGCTTTGATTTTATCAATCAAGACCGCCGTTGTAATTCCTAGTAACTTAATTTTTTTACAGATATGGTGAATCATTTCCAGTATCAGCTGAAGCTCTCGATTCCAGTTTCTGTCTTCCTATTGGGAAAGCCAAAGTAGAGTTCCCTCCTTGTAGAGTATGCGGTACTTCTTATTTGCATTTATTAGTTTCTAATTTTTCATTATTTTTCAACAGATAGAACGTGAAGGAAAGGATGTAACCATCACTGCTTTCTCGAAGATGGTTGGATATGCTCTTAAGGTTTGTCTTTCTAACTAAAGGATTTGTTGATTATCTGACATATTCATGATGTCCATATTTAATGTCTTATTTCATGAGCTATTTCAAAAATAGCTTTCTTCATTAAAATGCTGTTATATTCTATTTTATTTTCTATTCGGTGTGATCTTAAAAATTTTCTGTCTAGCATGTTGTATGGTTTTCAGTAAACTTCCCTCTCGTGTTATCTCGTAAGCTTTATGTTTCGTTGATGAATGTTTTGAACTGTTGGTAGAATGTGAATCTTGATTCCAATAGACCATTCCCATTTCTTCGAATCAGCTATATATTTTTATTCGTATCTTATTTGTCTTAACAAAATATATGTAGGCTGCTGAGATTCTTGCAAAAGATGGAATCAGTGCCGAGGTAGTATGACAAGTTCATTCTTCCATCTATATTAAACGGATAAAAGCTGGAAAGATGTTCTCACATACTTGTTTTTGCAAAATTTGAACAGGTGATAAATCTTAGGTCGATCCGCCCTCTCGACAGAGCCGCAATAAATGCTTCTGTTAGGAAAACCAACAGGCTTGTGACTGTAGAAGAAGGGTTTCCTCAACATGGAATTGGGGCTGAGATCTGGTCACCCCTCTCTCTCTGAAATTAACTATGGACATATTATTTCTATTGTTGTGGTTCTATTCATGGTTATGTTTTTTTTGTTTGCTTTTCAGTGCATCAGTTCTTGAAGATAGCTTCGAGTATCTTGATGCAGCTGTTGAGAGGATTTCAGGCGCCGATGTACCAATGCCTTACGCCGCAAATCTGGAGAGAATGGCTGTCCCACAGGTTTGTCCCTATTTTTTCTATTTATCCTTTACATATGCAATTTCTTTCTCCTACTATTGGATTAGTCCATGGTTACACTCAATTCATGGACTTCGGCCTATCTTTGGATCTACGATAGATATTTCGGGTTTATGATTTCACATCTTAATATCTTATTCTGTCCCATTGCATGAAATCATTGAGCTGAAAGAGTTCTAGTCACATCTGTAGGGCCTCTTGAACCTATATTTTTTCTTCCATAAACACCTATTTCCTATCTAATTTTCAGATTGAAGACATTGTTCGGGCAGCAAAGAGAGCCTGTTATCGAAAAAATGCATTGGCAGCCACCGCCTAGAGTTGCCGGAAACTGTAGGCAAGGCAGGGCAGGGCAGGGCCTCTCTTATGTTCCATCAAATAAAAATAGGCAAAACCCAGAAGGCAAAGTCCACTGGGATGAGTCGTTTTTGTGATTTGTTTGTTTCATGATCCAACAATGTTGAAGGAAAGATTTCAAGAATTTAGTAACATTGATTCCTAACTTTGTTATAATCATTTGTGATCCTGTGTTATTATTTAGCTGCGAAATTCTGGTCATTCAAAAATACTGTTGGGAATGAAATAATTTTATGTTTTGGATAGAATCTGTGTACATTTCTTAAGGGTGTCTAATTTCAAATAATTCTATATTGCGCGCATAAATGACGCCACAAGGCCCACAACTGACTCATGTCACTCCGGTTCTTGATTTCAAGTTTTGTTGTCTTCATGCGATCCTCGGTAGAGCCCATTTTCCGGATTTAAAATCCTTGTGAAATCTAGACTTCTTCGACACAACGAAAAACACTGCAACGGGCATAATGTGCACGAATCAACATTTGCACATCATCAAACAATGCATCTAGTAATTGGTGACAAACCTGGAATTCCTGGGACAACAAAGTCGGGATGTTTCAGGATGTCGTGTAGAGTTTGCTTCTCGTTCACTCTGATCCATTTTGGTCGATCACCTGAAGCAGAAGCGCATGTAGCTGCAACTTGGGTCTTTTCACCACCGGAATCTTCCAGATGAGAAGCAGCCGTCCCTTGTAATAGATAGTTAAGCAATTCTTTCTTGGACAAACAAACTCCGGAACAAGCCTGTTCGAGATTTCAGAGATCAAGTACTTGACAAATGGAAAACTATATAAGGTACTTAAGATGCTCAAAAACATATCTCGTGGAGCTAACTTGATGAACTAGAGCAATCAGACCAACACGTTATTGCATAAAAGTTCGAGATGGAGATCAAACTGAACTGCACACAACTCCATATAGTAGAAGCTACGGACAACCCAACAAGTATCAATATATGATACAAAATTTAAACTAACAAAAAAGCATCAAGAAATCATTTGAAATAAACAAGATAGATAAGGAAGGATTGCATTCAGCAATTAAATGACTACAACATATTATCTACTATAAGAACTTCGAAAAAGGAAAAACTAAACTATTGTCATTGGTCCTATCGATCCAAGGCAAGAGACGTGAAGTTGATAATCTCAGATGGGTGAAAACTTCCAGATAGCAAAGGCTTGGTTCATTAAATTGACATTTTTAATAGGTATTTACTATTACAAAAAAAAATTCTTAAAATTATTCAATCAAAAACTTATTTTTATATTAAACTAAATATTACTTTTATATTAAAAAAGTCACATCAATACTTATTTATACTACATCAAACACTTATTTCAATTAAAAAATTACTATTCAAAACTCAAACCCCACAAACAAACACACTCTAAAGATCTAGATCAACTGGTGGGGATAAGATCTTGTGCATTCCACTCAACCTGTATAAATCAACCACTAAAACAAATACTATGTAAACATTGAACGTGAACATCAATATCTGTTACTATACCCTTTCCCTACACAGTAATAGTACGCAAATGGAGTACATATACAATGATTAAAGAAAACCATATAGGTCTCTGATTAAATACTGGTTATCACAGCAAGTGTATCCAAATCTGCCTAAATAGACAAACACAGACCTCGAATTTAATATTGCACATCACATGCTTCAAACTTAAATCGTAGTCTTAGATTGGAATGATTTGCCAAGGGAAGAAATTTCAGGGGAATAACTATGATCTACTAATTTCTACAGTCAAGGGTAATAAGCAGGAGCAACAAGTTTTGAGATTTATTGTATCACAATTGCCAAAAATGTGGCTGAAATGATAGTTTTATATTAGTGTTAGATATTAGGTATTAATTACTGCTAGAGTTAGCGAGTAGATATTAAATTTGAGGCTATCCATTTCTCCCTTTAAATGTCTATATCTGCTCATGTAATGTTAGCGGAAGAGATGAATAAAAGTTACTCTTTGATCATAATCTTGTCTTGGTATCAAAGTTGGTTATTTGAATTTGTCAGTTTTTGAAAGTTTTTTGACTTGTGGTTCTTGTTGCGTCAATTATTTTATATCATTTCATTTTCAAGATCTCACTTTTTGTTCAATCATATTGCAAGCAAGATAAGTAGATTAATCAAATGATATTAATTATTTTCCCAAAGAACAATCAAACGGTATCTATCGTTGGCCCAAAAACCTATAGGCTACCTTATTTCCAAGATTCATAATGATATCTCAAACCCTAACTACACCTGAAATACTAGTATCTAAATGCTACTTACTAAAAGTAAAATAAATTCACCTAATAAACTAGAAATAAACCCAACCACAAATAATAAAAGTCCATAATTAAAACCTAAACCAAGTAAATATTAAAAGACTAATAAATAAAAGCCCAAGCTTGCGAAAGCAAGCATAAGCCCGTCCTTGCCTCCAATAGACCAACAGAGGTCTTACCCCATCCTCATTCCCGAGCTCTTGTCCCTGTTTCTTATCAACTCAATCCTCCATCCAACTCTAGAAACTAGCTTTACTCATCCAAGTCAAATCATCAGTTCATTGCCCTACAATGTAACCAACAACTGCTCTTCATTTGCTTCTTTCTCACGTCCTTGCCGCCAACCTAGCACCTCCTCGAGCTCATACACTGCCCCACCGAAACTCCAAACTCGTTGGTAACTTTAAAATATATCTCAACAATAACATTCTAATTATAGGAAACAAATGTTGATTAATATCTTAATTTTAGGAGCACCTTCAACATTCCTTTTACATGAAGGAATTAGGTTCTCTATAATATTTTGTCTTGAAGTGCAATCTACTTCAGTTGGTATTTTCTTACATCAGCACAAATACATTAAAGAATTCATTAGTTTGGCTGGTCTTAAGGATAGCCAATTTGTTGTCACCCCCTCGGAAGCAAATGTTAAATATCGTCTTTTCATAGGCAACTGGTGGGGAGTCTCAACTATCTAGCTATTACTCAGCCTAATATTTCATTTGCTGTTCAAAAAGTTAGCCAATTTATGCAGGCAACCATGTATCTCCATCTCATTGTTGTTAATGGCACTATCCATTATATACTAAGCACTCCTACTTGTGGCCTTTTCATCTCTTTAATTCTCCTATTCACAATTTATGGCTGAAATTGTAGCTGTCTATTAGTGTTAATATTATTAGTATCAAGTAATGTTAATTTGTAAAATTGGTGCTAGAGATTAAATGTATCTATCCATTTCACCCTTGGAATATATCTATATATACTCGGGTAATTATAGTGTAAAGAGATCAATAAGATCCGTCTTTGATCCATAAACTTGTCAGGATTGAGTTTGTCAACTTCTAACAAGCCTTCAATTGCAAATTGGCCATTTGACAAAAGATATCAAAGCCATGTATGACAAAACACAATGCTTGTAAGATTCATTAAAAATACTTCAAGTAGTGTAATCTAGTAGAAAAAAATATATCATTACCTCAAAATACAACTCAATAGAATCCCGAGTGTATGCACTTTCTGAATCCCATGGCAAAGGTGGACTATCCTCTGAGAACATGTTTGGACGCTAAGGATCACATAAGTATGCTCATGACATCAAAATTCACGAAATGGCAACAATCTTAGTTCTAGTTGTAGCAACTTGGCACATTTAATCTCTAAGGCTATGGTCAATAATGAAGTATAACATAAATTCAGAAAAAATAAAAATATAAATTCTATGCGTAATAATTAAACACAAATAATAAGTTAAAATATTCAATATATTAATTAAAATCAAATTAAGTCTCAAGTATCAGGATAAATTCTGATCAAATATCTATACATTAATCATATTATCTAGTCATCAAAATTAATAAATTCAGCATCTTTCTTCCTCCCCAACATATTTTTCATCTTCTAAAATTAAAATGATTTCAAAACCTCTTTCTCACCGCATCTTCATCAATCAATATAAATTGGGATGTCGACAATGTTCTCTACTTCTTTGATCTATTAAACAAAAGGCTGTGCCATAGGCCATTTGTCCCATGGCAGGTGTCATAGCATGCCATTATCAACTACGATCTAAAAATCATATAGAAAAGAGAAACCCCGACAAATTATAAAACAAAATGACTTGGCAAGGATATCATGTCCAGATGAACTGAGAACATGTCTGTCTCGCAAAAATCCTCAATGAAGTCGCTGGACATAACCTCTGCATAAAGAAGGAGAACGGGCCAATGAAGAATGTTGTTCCCATCAAGCACTGGCTTTTTAATTCCAGTGAGTTCCTGATACATGTGCTTTCCAAATTTGATCTGTCTATCCTCCAAGGCAGATACAATGTCCTGAATTATTTTCACAATAAAGGTCAAAAGCACTTTAAGCATTTGAAAACAAGTTTTACAGAACGGCACCGTGAATTCCAAACCTTAGCAGTTCTCACAGCCTTGGTAACCTCAGCTTGATATTTCTGATGTTCTGATATCTTGAGATCAATTTGCTTGGCTAGCTTCTTCAGTTCTTCATTATCTGGAGACTTTTCAAGGCCCATCTCACAATATGCCTTGGCTCTGTCTAACAAATTGAGCGCCTGTGATGCTTTGGCAGCCCTGTAAAGTGCCTAATGTGAATGCCAACATTAGTAATTGGGCAAAAAAAACGGCTTAGTTATATGAAGCAATGAACAGGAAAACACAACCTTAACATTTGTGGGACTAAGTTTGATGGCTTCCTCAGTGTCCTCAAGAGCTCGTCTGTAATTACCTAACAGAAGATTGACATGAGCTCGATTGGAGTAGAGAACAGAGTGATCGGCATCACTTAATGCCTTTTGATTAATGGCCCTAGTGTAGCAATCAACAGCGTCACCATAATGCTTCTTCCCCTTTTTCACATATTCATTTCCCTGTTCCTGAAAAAGGGCACAAAACTTCTTTAATTTTTCCTACAAAATTAAATCAGGTTGATGCTCTAAGTGAAACTTGAAGGCTTACGAAAAGAAAACAATTCTTTGAAAAAGCACGTGATTCATCATATATATATATATATATATATATATAATTTCAAGAAACTTTAAACTTTCAATTTTCCTAAATAGATGTAATTAGTTTTAACTTTAACAATTAGTCAATCCTTTGAAATCAATTTCAATCTGTAACTATCAGCCTTGTACCCAAATCCAACCACATGAGCCACTAATTTTTACAATATACTAGTTTGTAGCAAAGTACTTATTCCCAAGAAAAAATAAAATAAAAAATACATGATTCAATACCATTCAACACAGCGCTCGCACAAACAGACTAATATATTGACAGTGAAAAGCACTGAAATACATTCAAGAAAGCAGTGGTTTCCATTATTTATTTTCAATAATAAAGAAAAAAAATACTTTTCTCAGCAAAAATGCCCTAATCGAGAAGGAAGAGCTGAGTAGAAAGCATACAAGGTAGCAAGCACGAAAACATAACAACGGTCTACGGAAACAAGAAAAAGATGGAATAGAATAGAATAGAATAGGAAATTGCAGAGGGAGAGGGAGGACCTTGAGTTCAATAGCAGCAGATTCCTTGAGAGCAGCAATAGCCTCCAGGTCAAAAATTTCGTCAGGCCCTGAGCCAGCCATTGCTTTAATCGGACAGGTACAACCCTTTCGCAAGCAAAGTCACTCTAGAAAATTCTGTATACAGTACAACCAGGGCGGGCGTTGGCGACGATCAAGGTCCAAACTGGGAAGAATTAAATACTACGAATTGTTGACTACACCCTCCCTGCCGCATTAGAGGAACACATACGGACCACCCTCCGTCCTGTAACTTATGCGCATGCGTTTATTAGTGCTCGGTTAATAATAATAATTTATACTATTACTTTTTTTTATATATATAGTGATTTTTATATTTTTAAGATATTTAATATATATACTTTCAAAAAATTATAAAATATATATATTTAAATATTTGAAATATTATATTACAATATAAATTGTATGGATATTATTTTATAAAAAATAAGATTTTATATAATATAATTAAATAAAAAATATTTTTATTTATCTATTATTAATATAAATTAATTTTTTTTAAAAAAATATTTAAATATAGATAAAAATTTATATTTATTAAAAATAATAAAAATAAATAGGTTTTGAATGAAATTTGGGATAGATATAAATAAAGAGGCTGAAACGGTATAAAGATAACAAAATAATATAATGTAAATATTGATAAAAATATTTATTTATCCATCAATCCTCTCATTTTTAGCAAATCCATCGATTGTCACTTCCAACGGCAAGTAAGGGGGTGTTTGGCAAATAGTTTTTTTAAGAGCTTTCGGCTTATTGAACAGCTTTTAGCTGTCTGACTAGTCATAAAGCTAATTTAGGTATTTGGTAAATTAACTTTTTAGAATGGCTTTTTGAACCCAAAAACTAATTTCTGAAAAGCTAATTTACATAGCGTTTTGAAATAGTTTTTTTTTCTGTAAAAGAATTTTTTATTTCTTATATGTCCTTAGAAATTTATTATACATTTTACACAAATAAATATATTTTGATTATTTATTAATTATATTAGAATATTTTATTATATTATAGTTTTACTTTTATAAATTTAAAATAATTAATTTTTATATAATAATTATTTTAATTGTAAAATATATAAATTTATTAAAATCAATATAAAATAAAAATATAAATTTTAATAATTTATTTTTTTATTAAAATTACATTATATAAATTTTATACTAAAAATAAATTAAATTTATTAAAAATTATAAATATAATGAACTAATCGATAACTAACATAATAAATATATACACGAAAAATTTATTATTTTATATTTTACATAATTTTCAATAAAAAAAATTATTTATATATTTTAATAAAAATATATTAGTTTTTAAATCTGACTGTAATAAAAATAAATACTTTTATAACACTTTTACAATTTTCAATAACTAATAACAAAAAAATTTAAACATTATAAGCTCAAAAGAACATAATCGAATATATTATAAACAAGAATAAAATAGAAATTTCATCGATTGTCATTTACGTATAAACAGCTAATATCAAACAGTTGTTTTACCAAATATTTTAATACAAACAGCTAATCGAATCAGCTAGTCAAATCAGCTAAATGAATTAGCTAACAACTATCAGTTAATTGAATCAGCTAACAGCTATCAGCTAATTGCCAAACACGCCCCAAGTGTCATCCTTGAGCTTCCGTCAACTGTGAATGCAAGAAGAGGAGATATGGATGATTGCAGGAGACCTTAAGTTGATGGTCATTGTAGAAGAATAATCTTGGATAGAAATTTCTTTTACCCATATACCTAGGCAATTTATTATTAACAATTTCGTCACAGCTTTTTTCAAAGGAACAAAATACTCGATTTTCACAACTTGTTGCAAATAAGATAAAGAAACATTGGATCATAAAAAGCCCACTTTTTGAAAATCTTTTTCCTTCTCTTCGGGATCGAACATCAATTGCAACGATTGGATAGATGGCTCATTGGGTTAGACGTAAATGAATAATATTGTCTGCCACTACTTTTTTTGTGCAACAAGAGGTTGTGATCAAAGAAACAATACCAAATCTAAAGTAGTCAGAGCAAGGATTTTTCGTATATGCAAAGAACTTAAACGTGACAGTGTTCCATCGAAACATCTAGAAAAAATATTTTAGCGATGAAATTAATTTTATTGTACATAATTTATTTTTAGCGTTCATTTTTGTTGCTAAATGACATATTTTAACCACAAATATTTCGTAGTTAAAAATATTGTAGCTAATTAGATACTTTTTTGTAGTGCTTGCACATAACAGTTGCTTGTCTGACATTGCCTATGCCGCTTTCAACAAAGTTTTTGTTCTCAACACATACGCAAACTCTAACGCAAACGCAAATAACAATTTTTTTGTCCGTTGTTGCCGCCGACGCTCCTGAGTGAGTTTCTATTCTCCCAATTGATTTATCATGTGACCATTATGATGATTCTATAAATGATTGCACTCGTCACAAAAATTGTATTAATTGTGTGTGGGATGATATTGGAAAAAACCTCTATCTACTTGCATCAATATAATAAGTAATGACAAGTCCAAAAAACAAAAGAAAGAGAAGTCTTGAAAGCAGTGAGATTGAAAATAAAAAGATAACTAAGAAAATGAGAAGTAAAGAGTTCATCAATAAAAGTTTGACCAAAATTTTCAGACAAATGCAACTAGAAAAGACTCAATAATTTTTTTTTTTTTTTTTCAATAACATAGCGCAAATGCAACTAAAGATAAAGAAGTTATCACTATTACAGATAGCAAAGTTATGCACTTTAGACGAATTAGTATCTAGTACTCCAGAATTTAGCTTTGCTGTGAGGATGATTGAAGATCCACAAAACGACTAATTTTAGCTAATATGTCAAATGATGCAAAATTGTAGAATGGATCAAATTTATGTACAATGAGCAAAAGAGCAATTAAAAATATCTTTGGACTTTTTTTTTGGAATGGCTGATATTGACTATTTGAGGTGTGATTCACTAGTCTCTTTCTGCTTGTCGGTATTAAACATTGAGTGTCTAAGTTTGATAACACTTTTTTTTTTTTTTAAAGTTACATGCAACTATTATAAATTATTTATATATTATAATGCTCTATATATTTTTGATGATATATTATACTCCGTCCATCTATGCTAATTTGTTTCATTTAGCTTAAGTACGGAGTTTTAGGTATTAAGTAATTAGTAAGTAATTAAGAAGTGTATTAATAAAAATAATTATAATTTAATAAAAAATAATTATAGATTAAGATTAAGATGACTAAATAGTTTAATTAAAATAAAAAATTATAAATTATGAATTTTAAAATATGATTAAAGTGTATAATTATATTTCCAAAAAAATAAAAAGACAAGTTATATGAAACATGACGAAAATAGAAAGAGTGGACAAATTAAGTGGGACGTAGGAAGTATTATATATTGTTGTTGATTTATGATTGTAGATATGGACCATAAAATTCTTAAAGAATTACACCAACGACTCTTGCAAAAGAAAGACTTTTGTCTACAGCATTTTCAAGTAACAAAATTTAAAAATACTTATTAGAATTTCAGTGCATGTGCAATTGATTATGTTATGCATTATTATATTAATTATTGATATAAAGAACAATATTTCACTTCGTGCTCTACCGGTGAAAGATGGATGAATGATTAATAAAGTGGACATGGAAAAATATATTTTAGTACTTTAATGACTCAAGATACATTTCAATAATTATGATTTGATTTAGAAAGCTTCAATCAGAATGTCAATTTTGAAAAACGTTGGAATATTTGTTTTAATTTATGCTTAGTGAATGTGCTTCAAATTGAAATATACATTTTGTAGAAACTGTAAGTCAAATCTTTAAAGAAATTTTAAATGCTATTGGTAGTCTTTTGAGGGATATATTGAAGCCAAGAGATCCCGATTCCATGAAATACCATCATATATCATTAATAATACTTGATACATGCCACATTTCAAGGTATTTATAATATTTTAGTTTTTTCAATTTCTCATTCAAAATTTTATGTTGGCTAATTTTAATTTTTATTTGCAATTTTTTGTATGCCGTTAGAATTGTATCAAAGGTATTGACGCACACATATTAATGTGGTTGTTCCAAAAGACATACAACTAGGATAAAAGATAGACAAAAAAGATCACCAACTATGAATATTCTTTGGTGTATGTGATTTCGACTTATTATTTACTCATGTTTTGATCGAGTGGGAGAAATATGCACATGGTGCACATATATTTAGACACAATCAATGATTCCAAGGTAAATTTTCCAAAATCTCTTCCAAGTAGTTATATATATACATATATATATTTAATTATTTTTGTTTGTTCATTTAGAAACAATTGTTTTAACATACAAAAATTTTATTGCATTTCTAGAAAAATATTTTTGACAAACAAAGGTTACATAGCCAGCAAGAGTGGCTCATTGACGCCATGTTTGAAGATAAAGTACCATCAATCAAATTTTCATGGAAATGGTTCGAGGGGATATCGAGAAACCTTCAATTACTACATTCATCGTTAAAGAGTTGTAATGAAAGGTCTTTTGGAGTTTTCAAGGTTAGGTGAAAAATACTCAAGGAAATACCAATATATTGAGTGAAAGTTCAAAATTCAATCATCTGTATAGTTTTACTTTGCATAATTACATTAGGTTAAGAAAATTGTTGACCTAACATTTATATTTATGAATGATGATCCTAATTTTGTCCAGCTGGATATTCACAATAAGTGTAATCTCAAAGCTAATTCTGAGCATGATAATATTGGAAGTTCAACTTCCATACAAATGTCTAGAATTCGATATTATATCGTTTATGGTCTTATATCAACTCGTCTAAATAAGCGACGAAGACGTAGTCGAATGTATATGATCATTATAAAATAAAACATAACAATATTTTTAATTGTCATTTTACATATAAACAACTAATATAAATAAATTAATTTATCAAACACTTTAGCACAAACAACCAACTACTTTTATCAACTAATTGTCATACACATCTTAGTCTACTTCAAAATTTGATTTGGCCTACTAATTTATATATTTTTTTTTTTCAAACTCCATATTAATAAATAAAATAAATAAATACAGTTATTTATTAATTACATAAAAAGTCCGTTAAAATAAAATATTTTTTTTATTGTAACAAAGTAAAATTTTTATGAATTGTAAATAATTGAAATATAATATTTTTATATATTAAATAAAAAA